ATATTGTGCATTTCGGTTGGCCAAGAAAAGGTATCACTGATGGATTTCCGAAACAAAATACTTATACATACCATACCTGCAACATTTCATAGATGAAAACCAGGATGTGTGTGACCAAGCAACATCCCAAGTATGGCTAAGATGGTAAAAGTCATTAATGAGGAAGAACAAGCAAGTCAGCAGAGACTGCAGCAGTTTGCTTTTGCCTAAGCCAACATATTGCCTGAGCCAACTGGGAAGGGCAAGACTCCATCTCCTCTCCACTCCTCCTTGCTAAGTTAATGGCGTGCAAACAACTTTTGCCCTTTGCACTCAGTTTGCAGCAACTGAAGCAAGCTGAGGACAAGGGGGAAAGCGACAGAAGCTGGGACATTTTATAATCTGCTCACAAGTGGTACAATAAGAGGATTAATTGGGACCAAATTGGGATAGTTGAAGTGCATGCCATCTCTACATCTAATGTTTCTTTAAACACAGCAAATTAACTTTAAGGATCATTCATCTACTCGGGAAATGCTCTTGGTGGATGTTAAAATTTTCTTATAGCTGCAGAGTAAGGATGAGTAATTTCCTTCTGTTGTGGCACCAAAGGGGCTCCTCTTCCTAAAACACTGTTTGTTTAGGTGACTAGCCTTCACGTGGACATTCGTGCGTCAATTCTTGTCTTCCTTTAAAGAACTGTGGCTTTGTGTCCAGTCGTAAATCCAGTTTCCAGGCTAAACAGGAGCAAGCCAACACCCTCCAAATTACGCCAGAGATCCCCTGGGTTTCCTGTCCGTATCCACGCTTCCATTGCCAATAGTGGAATAATAGCTGAAGGCATCAACATCCTCCATGGAGAGAAGGTTGCTGAGAACCGGGGCAGTGAAATCCCTTAAAGAACCTTTGGGATTTTGTCAGCAATTTCTTCATAACTGGATTGGAGTTTGGAGACGCAGTAAAGCTAATTTCAGTAAATGGGTTCGAACTGAAAGGATGCAACATCTAGCTGATGCAACCAGCCTCCCACTCCAAAATGCTCCATTTTCCGACACCCTTCAGTGCAACGGAAGCTTAACTATCCACAGGGGGACTTCTCAGTAAACACGCATGCATTGCCTTGGTTGGCTTTGTTTTAAAATTTTTAAATTTTATGTGTCTATGCATTAACGCAAATAGCATTGACCACACATTTCAGTCTGAAGACTGTTCCACACAGGAGAAGGTGAAAACCCCGCAATACAGATAACAAAAGCTCTAACCTGCCTTTTGCTACTCTTATCATGACTACAAATTGAAGGAGAAAAGCAGAGTCTGTCTCTTCAGTGTTTTGTTCAGACCTCAAGCCACAGTTAGTCTTAACCAGAGTTTGGAGACATTCCTTTTTTACTTTTTGGATTACAATACACAGAATCCACGCTTGCTCCATCATGACATCCCTTCAAATATTTAAACAGGGCTATCACTTCTTAACCTTCTCTTCTCCAGCCTAAAGATACCCAGTTCCCCAAGTCGTTCCTCATGGTTTCCAGATCCTTCACCATTTTGGTTGCCCTCATTTGTACATGCTCCAGCTTCTCAAGATCCTTTTTGAATTGTGGTGCCCAGAACTGGACACAGTATTCCAGGTGAGGCCAGACCAAAGCAGACTAGAGTAGTACTAGTTCTTCCCTTGATCTAGATATTATACTTCTATTGATGCAGCCTAGAATCACATTGGCCTTTTTAGCTGCCGCATCACACTGTTAACTCATGTTCAACATGTGTTCTACTAGAACTCTTAGATTCCTTTCATATGTAGTCTTGTTAAACCAGGTGTTCCCCCATCCTATACCTATGCATTTCATTTTTTTTGCCCTAAGTGCAGTACCTTACATTTCTCCTTGCTGAAATTCATTTTGTTAGTTTCGGCCCAGCTTTCTAATCTACTAAGGTCATTTTGAATGTTGATCCTCTCCTCTGGAGTATTCGCTATTCCTCCTAATTTGGTGTCATCTCTCTCCCTCTTGCTCCTGACACTTTCAGCTGCAGATGAAGACTAGGTCATATGCATATTTGCAAAATATGGATCAGGAGAGATTAAAGATAAATACACCAGACGAGGAAATAGGTGCAAAGCAGCTTCATGGCACTTCCGCCAGATGTAACTTATACAGAGCTGTTGTATGGCTTTGACAACAACATTTATCCAAAATGCATCAGATACAACTACAGATCTGTGATGATCTTGGACCTCAGCCAATTATTTGTCTATCTTTTAGACAGTTAAGATGTGAAGATGATGCATAGCTTCTTTTATGCTTCTAGTCCTGAGATTTAAGATCAGCCGAAAAGACATGATAAAACCATGTAGCAGATTTAATGGGAACTTATTATGGATTTGCAGAAGTCCAGATCACAGTATTTGGGTCTGAGGGTAACCTTGGCACAGAAATCTTACAGACAGTAGTAGAGTAATGCAGTTTGTTTTGAAATATTTATACTGTATGAAAGGAATTGGTCGGACAATAGACATGACCATTCCTTTGCACTTGCCGACTGTAAGGAAAAGATCCAACAGTTTGAGTTTTAAGGTTGGCAGAGAAATTAATTCTCAAACGTCCAGGTTTTATGGAAAAGGCCTTCTGTTATGGGAGAACTAAATGTAGTTGTGGAGGAAAAACAGAATGTCATTACGGGGAGGAAATTGTGTAATTGTGGAGGAAAAACAGAATGTAATTAAATAATTGGGAACAATAGGAGCTTTGCCCCCTGGGAAGAGGTAGTAATGCCTAGTGAAAGCTACTGGTTGGATTTGGCCATACAGATTCAGTCCACTCTATATGTCTTGGTGTATGTCACCTGACAAAAGTGAAT